TGAATTGATTGTGTATGTTTTTAAGTATGTCTGTAATCTGAACAAAATCAAAAACCCACCAATCACTTTACCTAATGCCATTAATATAGCAGATTTTGTTTCTATTTTCAGATACGGGAAGGCTTCCCCAAAATTCGTCGATCTCTCCTCCGAATTCTTAAGCCCGTCTGCTGCCACCTCATCGCCACCAGCAGCTCTCCATCTTCGTCTTCTCTGTTTCTATTCACGTGTAACAGATGTACTTGTGGATATGCAAGTGAGACCATATTTCTATATATTAAATACATATGCAGATCCAATCATTGAAATTCCAGTTTGTAATAAAACCCAACACCAATCTCTTCCATTATCGTCAAATGATCAATTGTTCATTACCCTTTTTCAAATGGAATATACCATCCAGGGTCAATGATCTTTAGGCTATTGGACAAAAAGTCAAAAAATTAAAATATAACTCATCTTGACATTATATCAAGCAACTGGTGGACAGAAAATGAAACATATGTTTATAGGTGTTGTATATCAAACTAATAGACACGCAAGGAAACCGACAAATAATATTGAGAATTATACGTCGATTAGTTGCGAATAATAGATCCAATTATTATTATTATATTTACCAAGTTTCGTCCAAAACCAGATCAATCCTTCACGATTAGATCTGATTATAAGAAATGAAGAAGAATATTGTCTTGTTGTTGGGCGAAATTAAATGCAAGACAGAAAAGTAAAACCGACCTGTTGATGGCTGATCTTGAATTTCAAATAACTGCACGGATCGGACTCCTGTCCTTAAAGGTTTTTACTTCGCTTCTACTGGCTGTAAGCAACAGAGTAAAACCCCAGGATTTAATGCAGATCTATCGACTTTCCAACAGCACTGGAAATCGATAAACACAAAGCGAATACTTGGAAACTGGAAGAAAAACGCAAAGAGTGGGAGAGAGCTCTGATTTTCGTGAGTAGTAAATACGGCTCCTATAGGCATTGAAATCCTGACCGATGCGTCGTGCGAAGTGCCAAGTGCGCCTAAATCGCGCTATTTCGCGCACTCACGGCGTCGGCTAGTGCTAGGCTAGGCTAGGCGCGCGTGTGGGCTTGGCCCATTCCTTGACCCACTAAAGCCTTTGAAGGCCTATCAAGGGAATAAGATTATAAACCCACAAAAGTTTCTTCCCCCCACCAATGTGGGATACAAAGGAAATTGCCAACTTGCAATTCCTTTATATATATAAAGTTCCAACAATAGGTAAGAGGAGGAATCGAAAAGCAATGAAAGATGGGGATACCTAGTTACTCTCTTTTGTCAGAGATGATGGAGAGAGTGAGAGACTTTGATGGTTCGGAATTAGTAACGACGGCAAAGGTGGTTGTCTCGACGGCTAGGTCGTGGGAGATAAGAGGGTATGGAGACGACGGCAATTCGATTTTTGTAGAGAATTGTGTGAATCCAACACAGTCGGTGTAAGGAAGGCGAGAAGTGCAGCAGACCATGGTCAATCGTGGTGCCGGCTCCACTGGAGGTGAATGAGAAGTAGAACAAAAGTCTTTTCATACAGAAATAGGTGAATCTTGTATGACGGTAGATCTGTTGAGGACGACATAGTATCGGAGGCTTCGAGCGAGATAGACAATTGCTTCCAAGAACGAAAACAACAACTATCCCTAGACGGGGTTAAGAAAAGGATTGAGGGAATTTGGGTAAGCTGTAGAAACAACTTCCGTTATTGGAAAATAGAATTAGCTTTGTTTTAAAACTGAATAAGGCGGTGGAACATGAGTCTTGCATCTGGTTGGAAGCGACCGGCGGTGCACATGAACATGCGGTGGATGCAAGTGTGGAGAAGGTGACCTAAGCGTGTGAGGACAGATGACCGGGAAACCGGAACTGTTCCTAACGTCCATGTTAATTAACGTCCATGTTAATTAATAGAGTATAGAGTATAGTAATTTCATGGACGAAAGTGTGAATAAGCAAAAAGTAGTGTCCACAAAATCTGAATCCCATAAACAGTATTGTTCGTAAGAACGAGGGTTTTTAATATATGTATACTAGGTTACAACCCGTGGTTTCCACGTGTAATAAAGAAAAACAATATTGATAATTAAAAATGATAATGAAAAATCAAAGATTTATAAAATTTTATTAGATTAACTAGGTTATAGCCCGTGGGAACCACGGTTATAAAAATCACTAATTTTATAATAAAAACTCATAATTATTAATCAATTATTATTATTAAATTATTAATTAAAAGATTTATGTTTTTTGTTTATATAAAATTATAATCGTTGATTCAAATAAATATGTTAAATTAATTTTCAGGATATATGAGACAATTTTTATTTGTGAATTAATGAAAAATAATGATATTGTATAGTGAAATGTAAAATTGATTATAAAAATAAAACAACTACGATAAATGAAGTAAATTAAAATTGGTATAAGACAAATTAGATAATTAAGTTGTAGAAATAAACATATATGAAAAAATATAACAAATTATAAATGAAAATTAACACCAATGTTTTATTACAAATATGAAAAAATATAACAATTTACAAATGAAAATTAACAACATGCATTTTTTTGTTTAAAAATAGAAGTCGGACGCTATTTTTTTGCTTAAAAACAAAGTAACATGCTACTTTTGTCTTAAATGAAAGTACGTCACTATAAGTGGAAAAAAATCACGTTTATATGTCATTCTAATGAATATTGCAAATGAAATAAAAGTATATTGTTATAAATGAAAAAATAGTTTATCCCACTCTTCTACCCAAACTGATATATTGTGTTACTAAAATACTTGTCCATCTTGTTAAGTTTCACTTATTCCCACATGTAAACAATCACTTCCCAAAATACCCCTCTTCTACCCAAATTGATATTTTGTGTTACCATATATTCTTTACTTCAAATCGATCAGATCAATCTCTTGTAAATGTTTTGTTGCTTCAAAAATCAGGCACCAAGAACATCATCATCAATGTATAACTTAACACATCAGATTTATGTATGTTCTTGTATAAAGTACCAACGACTTGTCTCCTGAAATGACTAAGTTGTTCATAACAATTACAAAATTCCAACAAAAGAAATCCAAGTATAAAGGTAGATGAACACCTAACAATTAGTTATTTTTCTATAAAAGTAAATAAACTTAAAGTAGAAAAGATGCAAAAAGTTTATCAAAAAGTGGAAGTACATTGTTGTAATGAAACTGGAACTGAATGTTCTAGCATCCTACTTTTAGAAAATTCCAAAAAATATGCATTTTAAAATAAAAAAGTGGTATAATACCAAAATCAGTTCATCACACACTAAATATAAAAATACATTTTTTTACCAATGATTTTCGCAATAAACTTCAAGTACCAAAGGATGTTGTCACCAATAAAACCATCTTCAAGTACCAGAGGATGCTGCACCCATTTCATCCTCACCAAAATACGAAAGCTGCAAAATTTAAAAGCATAATAGTTTAATTTTGGATACTAAAACATAATAGAAAAACAAAACAAAGGACATTCAATTTAACTTCAATCCACTATCATGTTCAATATGCAGAGTAAAATTGTAATCCATAACAATTGGTATCAGATTGATGCGATCAATCTGAAATAGAAGCATAGTTGTTTCAATCTGAACAATGATAAGAACGGTTACTTCAAGAGTAGACAGAACAAAAAGAACTAATTTTGTTTTGCAATCGAAATTTGGTAATGTTTAAACTTAAATCGGATCACTAAAAGAAGATGTTCAAAAAGTAATGAAACGGTTGGAGCTATTGATCTGCATATCCAGAGATTTACCTTCAAAGTCGATGTACCTTCAAAGTCGATGTACCTTCAAAATTGGTGCATGTGGTGATTCTGGAATGCGTAGACGCGACTTTAGTTTCAAAAACTTGATGGGAGGCAGCAGGGTTTTCTAAATTGTAAGGGTTTAAAAGAGTGTGTGGCAGTTTAATCAAGATCTAGAGGATTTAGTTTTGAAGTTTGGCGAGAATTTGAGGGACTTGGGTTTTAAATTTGGCCATAGGCTTTTGGTTAAGGAAGAAAGGAAAAATGGGAATTCATATATGTTTTTGGTTTGAGCGGAATTTCAGAAGTAGCTGATAGATCAGACGGTTTCAGAGGGTTCCGGAAGCAGTTGATGGAGTGACAAAGGTGATGGCAAGCGACGGCTTTATGGTGACAGTGGTCATCTAGGGTTTGTCTGGTGAAAGGAAGAGAGTGTAGAAGATGAAGTAGAGATATAAAAACGAAGAAAGACAATATATGGAGTAAGGGGCAAAGATTGTTCCTGATTTTATGGGATTCAAATGATTGATGTATATAAAATATCTTACAAATCGGGATTGATGTATAACAGTTGCTGGTTTTATGGATTGAGTGAATGGGCGGGAAAGTTTTTTGTTAATTGATTCACATAATGCCACATGGCAGATTGTTAGTCTAAAAGAATGTCAAGTGGATTCTAGGAGAGGTTTTTATTAGGAGTAGATAAGATACGATTGCACTTGTATTGTCTTTTCATTTAACACATCTTATCTAAAACCGATATTAAGTTGTTGAATTGCATGCTTTAGTTTTTTCCATTATTAACAAATTGTCTCCAAGTCCATATATTTTGTGATCAAACTCTCAACAATATAATTACTGATCATGGTGCTCTTATTTATTAAAATCTCTTTCTTACATATCAAAAACTATTCCTTTTACCGGTTCCTTTAAGTAGTCAAATTTAGGGTCCAAAGATGAGAAATCAGGTCCCATCTTTACTGGGTTGTCTCGTCTTACCCAATAATTGCAAACATTGATACAAGAAAAACCAAATTGTAAAAAAAACAATAAGTACGTAATCGAATCCGTTCTCAAAGCTTTCTAGATGTCATTAAATGCAAAAATAGATCATCGGCTTGATGTAAGTTAGAAAGGGGGTTGAGGCATTCGTGAACCTTGATACATCTCATGTTCTTGTTGATGGACTTCAAATGGAAATAGAAGAACCGATGAGGAGTGATGAACATGTGATCTACGGGGATGAAATATTGAAACTTACGAACTTCAATCATGAGGTGAAATGAATAAAGACTGTTTTCCTATAAAGGATTAAGAAATTACCATAGAAAGTAGTATCCAAATCCTTCAACGTTATAGAAAAGAAAAAATTAGTGAAAAAGATGACTTTTATGATGATTGAGATGAAAAGGAGATGACAAATCGAAATAGGTCAGAAGCGATTTATACTTTAATCATGCTAAATGAATCAAAGTCATTCCAAAAAAATGAATCAAAGTCATTCTGATTAGACAAAACAATTATAGATTCAACTTGTTCCTTACTAATCTTATCAATTCTTTCAAGCATTTCATCAAGCACTTGGTATGTATTTTCAAACCTGCCAATTTTCAACTTGTTCTGATAAAAAAAAGATGATCGTTTGGATCGTTTACGAGAATTTCTTCCTCCTCGGCAATAGTCAAAAATAATAACTTGATTTGGGCATTGTCGAGTATATATAGTGGCCTAATCCTTGGCACTTGTAACAATGATTTTACTTTTGACACTACAACAACTGGGACGGTCCTATTGTGGAGTTGGGTGCGGGCTATTGAACCGTGTTCATTGTTGTGGGTGATGGGGTGGTTCTTACAGTTGTTGGAATACATACAGTATGTGATACTTAATTTAGCCTTAAGCGTTGTTTTGCTTCTTGATTTTTTAAAGCACATGATTATATGTCAAATAAGCTTTCAAACTAATAAGATTGAAGACCACTCAAAAAGTATGCAATCACGTGTTCGTCTTCTTCTTTGTAATCAATTTAGCATCACATCTCATATAATGATGGTAATTATATAGTAACTAGGCGAATCCCCGCGCGTTGCGCGAGAATAGAGTTATATAGTTAAAATAATAACTTTTACCAAATTATTATTCAATATTTCTACTTTGAAACAAAATGTTAGTAGTAAAGCAAACATATAGTTAACATATTAGTTTTATTAAACATTATAGTTTAATTTTTAAGTCATTGTGATATATACAATTAGTTGATAATTTTATAAACCGTTTAAAATTGTGTAAATTATATATGAAATGAATGATAATATAACGGGTAACAAAACGTATGAACAAAAATATGAACTGCAACTTTTAGTAACATAAAAATAGAAAAACATCTATTATAACAGTTGTATTAAAAAATATATATATACAATGAATAATAAAAAATATGAAAAATAAACACTATAACTTTTAATAACATAAAAACACTAAAACATCTATTATAAAATTTATATTAACTCTTCATATTTAAATCACAAATCTCTTCAAATACATTAATGTTTTTAATGAGCAAAACTTTACAACCTTATAAAAGAAAAGAAAATAAAAAGTTATTAGTGATTACTAACTAATAATCATAAGATAAAAACTCTTGAGTTGTAACTAATAAATATACATAAATTAGAAAACTTTTGAGTTGTAGTGTGAGTTTCAAATGAATGCGATACTTGGAAATGTATATTTATTATTATTATTATTATTATTATTATTATATTCGTCTAAATAATTGAAAATGTACTTGGAAATGTATATTTCTGCGCCCTTAAGCTGTCCCGTTTATGAGAAACTTCCCTGTTTGCGTGCTTCAACTCTTTTCAGCTTCAAATACTGGGATTGAAGAAACGACGTCGTTTGGCTGCTGAAAGATGCCATCCTGCTTGCTTCCGGTCAGCCTGACATCAGGATGATGAAGAAGACTTGGTGGTGGGTTTTCCTTGTTGGCGGTGTCGTTTCTTCCGATGCTGCTTGCCACTCTTGAATCTCCTTTAATTGACACCTCTCCTTGATTGCGGCCGACTCGCCCAAAATGAGGTAATACCAACCTAACTCGATTGGGTACCGGTTTAATTACTCCATCCTACTGCAAAGAGAAAAAGCCCTAAATCAGGTACCCACATAATTTCTTCTTCTTCTTTTTCTACGATTCTAAAAAATCATATCTGGGAGCCGGCATCGCTTATTTGTTGATATGACTTTGTGAGATTCTCATGATCCTGCACTTTCCACCGCCTCTATTTTCAATCATCACATCTGCCTTGAAGCTTCTCTGTCTATACAAAACCTAATTTTCAATTGCTATTTGTCTTTCCTAATCGCAGGTAGGTATCTCTCTGTTATAGTTGCCTGCTTGTTCATCCTGACCTCACGCCAATGCTGGAGACTTCAAAATTAAAGGTTTGCAGTTCATTTGCGTAATACACATATTTCAAAGGTAATTCTTCTTTTTTTCAACCACAGTTACCTGTTTCATGTATCAGTTTCTCAAATTCTCATGATCGTGCACTTTCCACCGCCTCTATTTTCAATCATTAGATCTGCCTTCAAGCTTCTCTGTGTATACAAACCTAATTTCGAATTGCTATTTCTCTTTCCCAATCGCAGGTAGGGACCAAACTACCTTTCTGATTGTTTCTAACCCGATGGACGTTGATGAGTCAACACCAGACCGAAAACTTGAAAACCTGTAGATCAATATGCTCCATGTTGGGAGAAAGAGAAAGCAACGATTAAAAAGTTTGAGTCGGCTACAGATGGAGGGAAAACAATAGCCGGGGACTTTGAAACTGTGAGGACCATAAGGTAATTTTTATGTTAACAAAAAAAACCCTTTATTTCAATACTAGGTGATGAAGTTCTTTTTATAGTCTTACTCTTCTTATGGAAGCGTTCAACCATATATGTGGTTACAATTCACAAAGAGCATTACACATCCGCTAAGTGGCACTGAATATTTCAGCTTACAAAACGAGGATGAAGAAATTTTATATGGCATAAAGTACACTGTTATGCCACCTACAAAGCATTTCCACACCTGATAGTCACTCTATATCAAAAAAATGCTATGTTTTTCTAAAAGGCAATTCAGTATAGTCAGCTAGCCAGCCAGACACCAGCACAAACAAAATTGACTGGTTTAGCCCTTGATTTACTTTTTGCCATACATGTTTTTTTTATTTATAAGAACTTCAGGCAGTAACGGGGCATTTTTGAGTAAACTAACTTTGTTTGTGATAATTTTGCTAACTTGAAATATTATTGCACATCTCTAACTTCAAATATTATTGTAGGTTAGAATGTTATCACGTACAACATATGACCAAAGACGATAGCGAATACAAGAGAATTATGATGATGGATCAGGAAGGAATGATAGTGACAGGGCTCATTTTTAGTGATCATTTGGATAACTATGCAACCATCTTCATCCAATACCACAAGTATAATATCTCCAGCACTACTGTTATACGAAGTGATCCTAGGTTTTCTGTTGGTTCCTATCTTTTTCATGGATTTTGACCAAAAGTACTATTGTGGAAGAAATACCGGAACGTATTCCAATAACTATACCTTGGTCGTTGGAATTTACAAAATTCAGCAGACTACATGCCTATGCTGAATCAGAAAATCTGCAAAGTAAGGTTACATGTAATATTTTGATAATTTCTCCTTCCGAATAAATTATACTTGCACACTTCCTCATTAATTTTTCAATTGTAGACGTTAGGGGTATTATCTTACAATGTTTACCAAGTCAGGAACACGGTGCTGACCTTGTAACAAGACGTGATATTATCATTATCAATGAAGAGTATGCAATATAAGTATATAACTTATTTTCATTTTTCAGTTTTACTTTATTATTGAACTTTATATTTCCATACGTTTATTGTAGAAAAATATTGTTACATGTCACATTGTGGAAAGAATTTGATGAACACAAAGGGAGAATGTTGGAAGCCATAAGACAACCACCACTGATCTTTGGTTTAAAGCTAAAAGTCACAACCTTCAACTGTAAGCAACTTTTTTTAATATATATCATATACCTATATATATGGTATATATGCAAGCCCCTATTTAGCTATTCGTTTATAAGTTTACAATGTCTAAAATTAAGACTTTATGTTATAGCTATTTCACTTGCAACGATACCAAACACTCCATTCATGATCAATCCACCTATTTCTGAGGACTTGCAATTACGAAAGTTATATATATATATATATATATATATATATATATATATATATATATAATACTTTTGAATTTTTAATCTAAGTATATAATTTCCATATTATCATATGTGCGTTTATATATTACTAATGAACAGGTACCTGGACAACAGAACCGAAATTGATGAGTTACTACGTATGGAAAACCATAAAAATACTGAACTGCTACTCCCATATCCTCCTGATGATGTTATACTTTCCATTGGGTCGTGACTGCTTCTCCAAACATTGTAACTTACTACACTTAAATGCATAATTTACTGTTATATTGGACAAAAGGTACATGTAAATGTTGTACTTGCATAGTAACTTCATCTTTAATAACAGTTCAAGACCGCTTGGATTAAAGGGAGACTTGGACTTTCTGCAAAAGGAAGAATATTCTCGTATACAGGATGTTCGAATTGTCATAAAGCTTTAGAAGCCGACACCACATGGGTTGTCATGTGTCCTTCTTGTAAAGTCGTATCAAACATCGAGGCAATGTAAATTCTCTTTCCTTACTACTTCTCATAGTTATTAATATAAATCTATTTCTCATACAAACACTTTAATTTTAGGATACGAACAACTGTTAATTACTGATGAAAGTGGAAGTATTGAAGCCAATGAAAGTGAAAATTTGTACTTTTCAATCCAGAAGAAGTGAAAACCAATGAAAAAATTGTAAGTATAAGTAGCTATTATCTTCAAATTTGTAATAATTATTTGCTATAAAGACATTGCATAACCATTATAACATGTGACAGAGTATGGACATTCACAGTGACATTGCAGCTGCCTTCGAATTGTCAGAAGTTGTAGCCTTTGTTCGTTTGTATGATGTACGTTTCCGTGGAATGAAAGAAACGAAAGTTAGCATTGTAAAAGTATACAAAGGAGATGAAAACCCAAATATCGCAATCGTTTTACCCAAGTCTCCATCACCTACTTTACACAAACAACCTGCCATTTCTGTTGACAGCACAATATCAGCACCAACAACACATCTTCCAGACGTTACTTCAACTTCCTGCTCCAAAAGTGAAACCACACCACTTCCTACAAAGACGGAACACAATCATGAAGCTCGTGATAAAAGGCCGAAAAAAAGTCAAAATAGTTAATAGTTTGGGAAAGAATGGTTGAAGGTAGGTTGCATAAAAAATAGTTAAAGGTAGTTTTTAATGGTTAAATACATGTTTTTTGGGTCACTAAGATAGTAAACAAGTTTTTTGGGTACGTAACAATGTAAATATTAAGTAACCGTAGTTAATGGCGTAGCTTCTTTTGTTGTATATAGGCCATTACTTTTGATAGCAGCTTCTCATAGTTTGCATTGTATGTAAATACAAGTTTCTAATGAATCGGTTACCTTATATATGTATAAATGATTACCATACAAAATACTTTCTGTAGATATTAGCTACATACCATTTTCGAGTTATATGCATTTTAAATGTTACTTTTCTATTTCATCTGATTTTATAAACAACATGTATATATACATTTAACCAACTAAAATCTTATTTTTCCTTTTCACATTTTACTTGGTTTATTCTATATTTTAGGACATTTTAATTTAATAATTAAAAAATAAAAGCGTACATAAGTAAAATACACATCATCATCATCTCATTTTTATACAAACTAATATAACTTTATATTAAATGAAATTTACAATTTAATACGAAAACCATAAAATACCCAATATTCCATGCTTACAAAAGAAAGTTTCATCACAGATACCAACTAATCTTTTAATAAGATCATTTAAATTAACAGTTTTATCACCAAACAATCATTGAATTTATGAAAGCACTGTGGCGAAGCTATTACAAGTTTTTTTAAACATTAAAGATACCACATTACTAAAAAAAAGAATAAAACCGTTCCTACACGTCTAAATCAACAAAACTTAACTCGTTTGAAACCTTTTAAGATCGTTCATCACACATTGTTCTTAAAATTACAAAATTACCCTTCGTGGGCCGTGCTCCGCACGGTCCTTTAAAATTCACTAGTATATATATATATATATATATATATATATATATATATATATATATATATATATATAAAAGTTGTATAGTAAAAAATTACATAATGGACCCGGTGCTTTTTCAAATTCATAAGTTTAATCCCTGACTTTTTCTTTTCTTGTTACACGGAAGGTCTGGTTTCAATTTCTTACGTTGTTGGTTCATAATTCATATATAATAACTTTTATACTTGTTTTTATTATTTTTTATATGTTCTCTAGAAATTTCAATTAAAATAAAAAACAAAAATAAATAAACCCCCACCCATCTACCCCTTACCCCCCTGAATCATGCTTTTATTTCGTTTTTCACACACATGTATACATATAAGATAGAAACTGTCACATCCTTTTATGAAATGGTGCCAACTTTTCAACTAAAGCAACGTTTCATCTTATATGACTTTTGAACCTAAACTAGGATGATGCTAAGACGACACCCTTTAATTAGACACCTCATTAACATTTTTATAAAGAGTCAACCTATAATTAACTACATATAATCAGTTTTTTCGGAAAACAATACAATTTCAACCAATAAAAAAATTTGAAAATTTAATTAGGGTGTCTATATGGTAAATGAAGTGTCTTTTTAGCCAACCCCTAAACTATTGATAATTAACTAACTTTATACAAACTATCACAAAGATTACAAGTCTAAATTACTTTTATAAAGCGACCAACAAAACGATTGCATCTCCTTCTTCTTCATCAAAGATTTTTAATTGAATTTGATCTTTCTGTTTGCGGGATCTAAAACATCCCCTTTTTTCCACGTACCACAATATTGTCCGCTTTGGGCAACTCGACACAAGGACTTTCCAGGGGGCCACCCATCCCGATACTACTCTCGTCCGAGCATGATTAACTGCATATTTCTTATGAGATCTGCTGCCCTCAAGAATTTGAAACCAGTTGTGACAGAGAAGGTATCAACACCCCTTTATAAGGAATTCTTAGTTATCCTTCCCATCCGATGTGGGATCAGGTGCAACCCACATTAACCCCCCCCTCCCTTTACAAGGGTCGATGTCCCTATTGAACATATTGACACGTGACCTAGCTCTAATATCATTTGTAACATCCACCTCTACCACGTATCTCAATATTGTCCGCTTTGGGCCACTCGACAGAGGGGAAGACAGAGGGGGATGTTTTAGGATCCAATTGGAGCATGCGACCTCGACTATGTTGCATTGGCCCTCGATTACATGGTTGAGGTCAACCTCTTAATTTTGATATTGTTGGTATCTCAGGCATTTTCCATATGGTAGTCTTTGTCCGACTATCTCACTTGGCCTTTTATACCAAACTTACACATAAAACAAATAACAAAAAGAATTGATTTGACGGAATTTAAAAAAACAAGTAGAATATTTGCTTTTAAAAAAAAAAATCCCAATTCTTTTACAAGTTTCATGTTAAATTTTTTTATTATGAAAAAATATATATATAAGTTGTATAGTAAAAAATTACATAAATGGTCCATATGGTTTTCAGATTCACAAGTTTTGTCCCTAACTTTTTTTGTTACATAGATGGTCTCCTTGTTGTTTCAATTTCATACGTGGTTGGTCCAAACCCATATATAATAACTTATATACCCTTTTTATTTATCTTTATATGTTCTTTAACCAATTTCAATTAAAAGAAAATGTAAAATAAATATAGGGAATAATCAGTTCGTAAAAATCAATCTGGCTGTCTACTTATGGTTTTTTCCTTTGTAAATTGGATTTTGATATCCTTGAATTTCTTTTTGCCCTCCTTATGGTTTTCCCTTTTATTTTATTTAGTGTTTCATGCTTATCTTGCTCATCAATGCTTTGTTTTTTTCTTTGTATGATTTAAGGACTTTATAGTGAGAACTGTTGATTAGATCGATGTAAAACTCTTTTGTTTGATTTCATTTAGTGCTTAGGTGCTTGGAGTTAGAGCCTAGCTAGAAGTTATTTTTTGTTGTCAAACTAACAAATAAAGGTATAAAATAATAATAATTAAACACAAGTCACTCCTACAATATACTAAGAGATAGTATAGAAGAAGCAAGGTCGAACCATTGAGATACGAGACTTATTGTGTGACCATATTTTCAAATGACACACTAATACCAATTGTTAAAGGGGGGGGGGGATTTTTTTAACATTAAATGAAACTTCATTCTTTAACTAAACAGAGATTAAAAGTCAATAATAATAAGACATTTATGATTCCAAATCCTATTCAAGTACTATGTTGTAAGATGTAATATGATTTCAATTTATGTTCAATATAGGTTGGTAATTAAGTTATTAATAAGCTCTAATATCTCAAAGTTGACAAAAGTATTTTACTCAAAATATGATCTTTAAGTAAAACTTCATTTAGTTGATTAAATCCAAACAAGCTCTTAGATTTGATCACTAAAAGACCTAAAGTTCATACAATTAATACTGATAATGTCCAATATTCCTCATAGGCTCGGGAATATGAACATCTAATCTTTGATTACACTAATTTTGATCCCATTGAAACCAATTAAGTGCTTGTCACTAACATCAAATCATAAAACATTTACGAATTTCGTAATTTGACTAACAATGATATAAACCCTAATTTCATTGATCCAGTGAAAAGAGTACAAATCAAACACATAATGAAGACCAAATCAAATATTACTAGATAATAAACATGAAATCAAGTTCACATCATAATCTAACAACACGTAATTAGGAATCTAGAACCGGAAATGAAAGGAAAAGTTAGCCACACATGGTTAAAATGAAGTACAAATTCAACAAGTTTGATCTTGAAAACAACTTACAAATTCAAAGATAAAATGTTTCCAAAGTGAAAAGTAATGATAAGGTAAGTGAAAATCGCCCCTTTCAAGTTCTTGGTCGAAGTTATGTTGAAAAATGGCAAGAACCCCTCTTTTAATTGGAAGTTAAAAATCCCAAAAAAAAAACTGTCAGATCACATTCCACGACCGTGGGATGGTTTTCCTTGAGATTCCACGCTCGTGGAATCAACTTTCGCCTTGTTGAGAACTTTATTGCACGACTGTGGAATGGACAGTGAATGAAAGTCCACTTCTAAATTTATCATTTTCTTCAATCTTGCTCCGGAAATTCTGAAACTTTTGCAGAGAGCTTCCATTGATGATCCTAAGCATGCCTAAATTCTCAAACGACCCCGAAACATCCACAAAAACTATCAAAAGTATATTGATCCTCGAAAATGCCTCGCAAATGCAAAATGCATTAAACTAAATGCTATGCAATACTTGAATTAAACATGAAATAAACATATAAAAAGGTGCATTTATGCACCTAACATATCTCCCCAAGCTTGAACCTTTTCTTGTCCTCAAGAAAACAAAACTCGAATCAAACTTAGGAAAGATAAAATGGAAATGAAAATGTAAATGCAAACAAGAAACAAAAAGAAAGAATGCCTCAAGTTATTCATACCGACAACACAATCATGATTAAAGAGTTGTCAACATATACCCTATATATGCAAATGTACTACATTACAAATCAAGACTGTAAAACACATGGAGCACAAAGCTTTGCCAACCACTTAGCTTAAATGCATAGAGTCATAGTATAAGACATCTCCTAGTAACTTTTATTGACAAGGCATGTGCATCTCATTCTATAGGGCGTACTCACTGAAGCACTCATCCACTCGTGCATGCACTCATTTCACAAGATGTGTGAACTCACTCCTATAAAAGAATCTACACTTGTTTATTTAAGGTGGAGGGCACTCAAGCGTTGGTAAGACATATCTCATTCTCCCTAATCTTCTTTCCATGCTATTCAATAACTTGCGGCTGCATAATCTTCATGTCATCTTCCAAATCTCGTGTCAACTCCAACAGTCCATAATAAGAGACAAAGCTATAAACCGTAATAAGGGGGCAAAAGAAATATACAAGGCTATATACAAACATCAAACATACAAAGCAAATAAAGTAGAACTGTACAACATGATTGTTGCTTCAAACCAACTATGAACACTAAACAAACCAACAATATCAAAATTATAGCAATGATTTTTATATAAAAATATCATAATGACAAATCTGGAATAGCTTGGTTCGGTTCTTTTTTTTACTAGAAAGCAGCAAAAGGATGTACATTGACTCAACTTGAATATTTACAACAACAAAAAAAAAAAAAAAAAAAAAAAAAAAAAAAAAAAAAAAGCAAAAAACTTTTTACAAAAACTTATATACAAAACTTGATAAACTGACTTTTTGAAAAATTCTTTTATAGAAGGCATACATACTTGTAAT